TCGAAATCTCTATTTTTTGTCTTAATTTTTAAAAACTGTTTTTTCCCTAAAACATTTTTAGATATTTATATAGAATAACCTTTAAGGTTCCAATAGACGCTTTTTCTATGACTTATTTTGCCTAGGAGTTATTCCCCTTAGCCGCCATCTTGTAGGGCAAAGTAGTGAATTTGCCTCTTTGAGGAACCAATTTTAAACATGCATGCAAGAAATATATGGGGGAAAATATTTACAATCTTATAAGCATGAATTAATAGAGGCTATAAAAAACGTAAATACAGTGTTATCTTTACCTCAGTAACCAGTATAACAAATTGAACTTGGTTGAATAATGAAGGGATATGGAAATGTTGCCCTACAATATGGCGGCTAATGGGAATAACTCCTAAGCAAAATATGTCATAGGAAAAGGGTCTAATATACTTATAATACTATTGTTATTGCATTACTATATTGTTACACTAAAATAAAATTTTTAAATATACTTTAAATGCCTTCCAATGAAGGAAAGTGGAGACTGAATCAATCAAATGCACTGTTTTAAATCTCTAATGCAAGCCCCTCCCCCTTTTTTTCCAAACAGAACGATTACTATAGTAAATGTATATTGAGAGACTGGTTGGCCCCTCCCACTTTATATAAATGATCTAAATGTATGGATAAATTTAGGTATTGATGAAGAAGTTTTTGAAAAAGCAAAATAGGATTTTCGAGTTGGACAATTTTTTTTCACTGAATCTGGATATACATGTACTTTGGTTGTGGGGTGGCGGTTCAGGTATAAAATTGTAACTAATAGGGGCACGATTTAAAAACAAAATGTTTTAGAGAGCTTATAAAAATCGTTTTATTATGTATCTTATATATAATCAATAAAACTGATATTTACACCATATATTAAATCCAATTGCAAGCATATTCTTTTTTCTCCATGAGTGAAATATGTATACTATTATAAAAGAAATCCTATTTTTTTCTTTAAATTTTGACAAGAATCTGATCCTTCATACTATTAGATACATTTGTACATTGAAAATTACAGATGTACGCAAAGGAGCTTTATTACACCCGCTTCTTTTTATGCTAAAGTCAAAGATAAAACAAATCAAATACTCACCTTATTGATCTTAAATTACAAATTGTTTATCAATGTTGTGCATTTTGTTGACAATATATAGCCTTTTTGTAATTAAAAATGTATTTTAAAGTTAGTTTCCTTTGAAGAATTACAGAATGTAATTTAATGAAGTTGCATGGATATTCCGTAAAAAAAATTTTTTAGAGGGAAATGCCGCTGAAGAATTTCCAAGATTTCACAAATAACATTAGGATAACAAGGAAATTAAAATCAGTATATTCCAAGTTTTAAGATTGGAAAGTCCTGATTATAGGTTATATCAAAGGAACTTATTTCATATCTGTTTAATTCTTAAAATTTTAAGGTCGTTTAACTCTGTCTTCTAAAGTTGTGTTTGTAGAATGAAAGAAAATCAATTGTGATTTTTCAATTTTTAACATATTTATTTCTTTTTTAAACTTTAGTCGCTAGATCTTCTTCACTTCTGTAATATAATAAAACACGAAGGGATTATTAAAAGGCTTGCGTAAATAATGAATTATTCAGTAGTGAAAATTATCGAAATAAAGCTGGTCATAAATCGCTCAGTAAGTTACATCAAAACTTAACACATTTTACCTCCTTTAGTTTGTATTTTAACTCACTGTATTTGTTCTTAATGAATATATTATCATTTTAAATCAGCTTTGGTCAGATAAATGTCATTAACGCTTGTCAAATTTCAGAGATAAACATTGGTTATTTTTTTTTTTTTCAAATATTTCATCAAAATAAAAAAGTAATATTTATTTTTTATGTTTTGAACACATGTTTTCTTGTTTTAACAAATTTGATATCCACTCGATCAAAATTTGTTCATTGCGTTTCATGAGTGAAATTTAAAAACACTTTGAAGTGTACCTTCTGTTTTGAACGTTTATTTAAAACTTCGATATTTCATAAAAGGATATTTAAATATTTATTTGCTTAAACAAAGAATGTTGTGTGCACAGAAACAATGTGATGAAAAAAAAGGATTCTGTTACAATTTTGATGTTCTTATAACATTAACAAAAAACCCAAATGACAATTAGGGGTTTCTTTTGTTCTTTAAAATTTGACTAAAAATATCTCTAATGGGAATTTGGGGATAAGAAAACTACCCCAGCTCAATTTATAATTAATCGTTTCATTTCCTTTTTCCACTACATTTTTTGATAACCTACAATGTGGACACAATGCGTCTCGACACTTGCCCGCAATTAGTTAATTACTAATATACATCCTTATCTTCTTGTGTATGATATACTCGCATTGCATGTCAAACTCCGTCACCGGGGTACAGTCCACACGCATGCGCCACACGTGTCAAATCAGTCCCGTTGTGTACATGTATTGTTCGCCTCATGATAAATTCATAACTCCAGTGGTAGTGAATTCAACAGTTATGTAAGAATGCCGTGACACTGCAAACTTCGTACACGCAAGACAAAAGAAAAAGGTCTAATTTTGATGTTTATTGTGAAATAGTTTAAAAGAGTTTAAAATTAAGTTGCTCTACAAAATCACATTTTGAAGTCTTTAAAGTGCAAATTGTAATCATTCACTAAACAAAGGTTCATCAATGAAGAATTATTTATATTTTCTCTACTTCCATTTATTCATATTTTGTTCTACATTTTTGTGAATGGAACATTTTTATTATCATGATTATTGCATTTTATGAATCGGGCACAAGTTCCAGAAAGTTATCATGCCCGAATAATATTATTCATGTTTAAATCAAATCGAAGAAATATTTTTATCAAATAAAAATGAAGGAAAAAAAATTGAAAAAAAAAATCGGTTTCCTTTTTTTTATTTTGGGGAAGATTTCGTGATTGTTATAAAAATTCCTCTGAGAAGCTAGGTACAGTGAGCATCATCTGACTTGAAATATGCTTTACACATTGACATGGCCGAATTAGTCCAATAATAAAATTTTGACCTCTTCTTTAAATTTTCCCGGTGATCTGTGTATTTTAGTGGTGAGTATTTGCATTAATTTTGTTGCTCCCTTGATTTCTCTGGAATCTAAATCTTTAGACTTGAATCAGATCGCTCTTTACTTTGTTTTTAATATTTTCTCAGAGTCAGTGTCCATTCTAGTTTTCGACAAAATATTGAAACTATATGCAAACTTTGTACAAAAGCTTATTCTTTTAGACTCTCTCTGGGGCTTAAAAACAATTCAATGTTTATTCTGATTTCCCAAATATCAGTACCTTTTAAAACAACTCGAATTACTCATTTATCTGAGCACTGGGGGATAATGCAAAAGTTTCAAATTATTATCATGTTGTAAATTTTGAATTTACTAGGGGGGGGGGGGGTGTAAATGCAAAATTTACAACATGATATAAATTTTGCATTTATCTCCCCCTAGTAAATTCAAAATTTACAACATGATATTATTTTAATGAAAATGATATTTTTACATATCTTAAAAATAAAAAAGCAAACGTTTGAATATCTAAGATTAATGTTATTTAGTCCTCTAATAAAATAGCCTTATAATGAAAGAAAATGCTGGTTTATTAACTGCAAAAATATCATTTTTTTTAGCTTTACAAATATCTACACAGCTTTAATTTGTATTCTCCAGTTACTAAGACAATAATTTTCAGAATTAATAGGTATGGAAGAGTTCCTAATGAAATATCACAGTTATATAGACACTACATGTTGATAAAGAAAATCAATATTATCAGACCATGCAGTTAATTTTTATAGCTTGATAAACCGTTATATCGAGGTGTATATCATTAACAATTATGAATATTCATGATGCATGTAATTGATTTTAAATATCTGCTAAAGCGTTTTTAAGTGCTTAACGACTGGTTGAATTAGATCGCATTAGATGCATTAATTAATATTACACCTTGTACCTTTTTTTCTATCACAAGATGTGGATTTTTGATGTATGATATGCAAATACAAGAAATGTACATTAATTTCATAATCCAATTAAAAGAAAAATGTGATTGTAAAATGCTTTTTGATCTCAGAAAATGCAATGCATTTTGTCAGAATGGTTTTATTATCTTAAACCTTAATATAGTGTATCTTCAAGGTGTATATACATAGTAAAAATTTATTTATTTATTTTTTATTGAATGCCCAAATTAATCACATGAATGTACTACGCACGTGCATGGCAAATTGCATTTCCATCGAAGAACCTGAAGCATGCCTTTCATCTTTCTGCGTATCAAACGATCTACTTAATTGAAAAAATTTAAAGGTGTAATACAGTGTTGTTGTGGTCCAAATTTTACAGGGTTCTTAATCATCTTATTTCACACCAAATTAAGTAGCTTTAAAAACAAAGGGAACTCAATGACACGAGGAATAATACTTCAAGAATGAAATTTCCAATCGCTACACCTTTTTCTTTGGTTTGTGCCCCCCTCCCGAGCGAATTTATTTCACAATAAATCAGCGTTTTTTGCTCGGAAGCTGGCCTAAATTTCGATAATGCAGCCAGGTTCAAAGCTGTTCCGTATCTTTAGGCATGGCCTTTTGTAATTGGAAAAACTTCTAACGATTTCATAAACGTCATGCTTGATTATGTGAAAAATCAACCACTAAATACTTGCCTTAACGGTAAAAAATATGTCTAAACGATCGGAAAGATCAGATTTTCTGCTTATGAAAATCACATTTTTATATATTAATAAATGAAGTCAAGTAATTTTTTCTTATGAAAAGGGGGGAAAATGATTAGAAATGGAAAGGTTTTTATGGAATGTACATTTATACAATATTCAGAAAATAGAAAAAAATAATTTATTAGATTCCCTTGAGACAGAAAAATGAGAACAATGGTTATAAAGCAAGGATTATGAATCATTGGAGAAAATGATAGCGATCTTGAACTGAGAACGAGTTAATATGCCCCGGTGCCCCCTCCCACAACTTGCGCTGGGTTGGAAACCGCGTTTTGACACAGACGACAATTCACAGCGGGGGAACCATTATCTGTTATCTGCAAATTCCATGGAATATTCTTTGACATCTTCCACTACACGAGGATTCCGTCTTTGTAGAAATTGGCAGGGCGACCTCCGCTGTCACGTGCCAAGGGTCCAATAAATGTTTGTTAAAGCTTCCGTAAGTAATATTACATTGTAGCGTTATTATATAACTACAAATAGGCCAGCAAAAGATGGAAAGGTCCATCTACGTTTCCCTCAGAATCTGAAAACGTGGCAAAGAATTTAAATAATTATATTTTTTGATTTTCTTTGTTTTAAGTTAAGATTTTTCTAGGAAAACAAGTTTTAAGATTCTAATTAAAATTTACACAATTTCTTCTTTATCAAAAGAAAAAAAAACAGGTATTGGTTTTAAATTTAAAACACAAATATTAGTATTTTTGCATGGTGTCATACACATTCAATTTTAGAATAAGCCTATAAAATAGGACTTTTTCTCAGTGGCATCTTTCCAAATTTGTCATCAAACTCTCCGAAGAAAGAAAGGGCTTTTTCGCGGGTTCTGATGGGCAGCAGACGAGCAGACACAAGTGTCAATACGATTTTCCTCTGATCGGGTGATGTAAATGAAGACTTATGTCAAAGGCGAGTCCGCTGTAACAACCTAATTTACCAAAGATAAAGCTCACCAAATCCCGGCATTTCCTATCTCAGCATTGGACAGACTCGACATGCCACACAAAGGCACGAGTACGCGACCTGTCCCTTTCGCGGTAGTTTTACGGATGGCTGCTCAAAGCGTTAATGAATCGAATCAATTGATTTTTCCCCTTATTTGATATTCCAGTTTGAGGGCGATATTAGTAAAAGAAATACATGTTTCTTTTTTTACTCGTTTTCTTCCTGTGCCCGCTGAGAGGCTGTGAACGACATTTGCATAATTAAGAGAGGTTAAAATTTGCATTATAGTTTGGTTTTTTGTTATTGACATAAAATTCACAATGTTTTACTTCTGTAATGTGCCTCGGAGAGAGAGAGAGAGAGAGAGATCAAATCATGATACATTCTTCTTCTTTTTTTTTACCTTTTTCAAAAGCGGTGTATATTAAGATTTATACAGCCTTTGATTGGCTAAAATTTTAATAACTAATTTGATAACTTTGCATATCAAAGAGATGTAGAATGTAATTCAACAAAAGATTAAGAAAAAAAAAACAAGAGGAAGGGCTATTGCATCAAGGTGCAGGTTTTATAATGATAGAGATTATGAATTAAGTGTGTGTCTGGTGAATTCAATATGGTGTCAGCAATAAAATATTGTTTAAAAAATGGATCAAAATTCGACCTTATGCTGCACACTGCACAAAAAGATTTGTTCCTCATCTGTGTGGATACATATCAAATGTTTCTAGGTCTTTTAAATCCTAAATGACGGCTTTTGAACGACGCTCCGAGACAAACCATTCTGCTTCCAAAACCTTACTCTAACCGAGCGATTTGCTGCGATTTTTCATATAAAATGTAAGGGGAGATGTTTTTTAATCATGGGGATATTAAACACCTCTGGTAATTCTACCTACCCACGGTCTCCAACTCATAAAATAGGATCGCGGGTTTTTTTTCCTCCCTTCGCCTAAAATCACGGTTTCTTGGTGAAAATAATGGTGCATAATGAGATCTGTTTCTTCAGATGATACGAATGCAGTATTGAGTGATTCGCTTAATTCTATAGGTATCTATTAATGTTAGTTATTTGTTTGTTTGTTTTTTAACTAAGGTAAAAAAAAAATTGGATCTCTTGCAGCGCGAATCAAATTATATATCACATCGTCTTAAATTGCTGAATGACATGGGCGGATTACGGGCGAAGATTGGAAATTATATAGCCAGCCAAATTATAGTTCTTTTAAATGTATCAAATTTTTATAGACTTTGGGGGTTGAAATGTAACTTTTTTTTTCTTTGCGTTGCAAAAGAATTACGAGCTTTTAAATATAAGTATATAACTAAAAGAAGAATTGTTCTCAAGAAGAAAAATAGATTAATTCAAAAAATATATATATTACATTTTATTGTCTTTTGTTTTTGACTGACCTTTTTTTATTGTAGGTTCAAAATATAAATGCATTTCCTCCAGACAAATTAAAAACAATAAAGCATAAAATTCAACAAGAGTTTTAAAAAAAATCACCAAGAAATAACTGTGACAACATCCATTATAAACTTACAAGTTTTAGAGTACACAGGCAAAATTCTTTTAAAATATAGAAAAAATTATCTAGATAAGTACCATCCATCCTGACACGTACTGGCCGTGTATATGCCGATAGGAATAAAATGGGGAAAATGTGAGGTTTGATAAGAAATAAACTATGTACATTGTTGAAAGATTTCGCTTCACTGCACTAAAAATATGAAACCTGTATTGATACTCCCGACATTTATTTTTTGCTGTTCGATTATTACTAAGAAAGGAGATATGTTTGTAAAATCAAATTCTTATAATAAAAAAGAAAAAGATTTTTTGTGTGTATTTTACATCCGTAATGTATCTATTCACAGAATGTACTTTTTCTTTCCATCTATCTCTCTTTCTCTCTCGCTTTCTCTCTCTCTCGTTTACCTGAGTTAAACTTTCCTAACTATCGGTGCGACTGCTTTGATGTTCATCCAAGCGATTGAATCAAAATATATGATATACTTGCCGTCTCATTTTTATTATTAATCCTCGTATCGAGACACATGTTTACGTTTCGACAATTATTGCACATAATTTACACAAACCCATCTCTCAAAAACTTTCACGATCTTGCCATATTTGCCAAACATCACGCGGAAATCTGAAGAAGCTCTAATTTCGTTTATTCTAATTTTATTTATTTCAAATTCAAACAATAGAAAATGTTTGTTTAGGGACAATTTAATTATCGAGTCGCACATGGCCATAACACAGTCCTCGTGTTCAGCAGCCCCACCCACTGTGTAATAGCCCGTCCAATCAAAAATTCACGAAGTCATATAAGTTGTGCCTTTTTGTCAATCAAGGAATTTTCAGCCAATCAAATCGCGTCAGAGGGCGACATCCGTCACACCATAGTTAATATCACCAGCCGTGTATAGGGCCCAGATAGTTGTTGATTCGCATTAACATAACGTAAAGCACCAGGCCGCAGCGTTTTGCAATTCAGATCAGTATTAACTTATGTAGAACGACTTCTTACAACAATTTAATGTGGAGCTTCTACAAGACCTGAATTCATGATGACCATGGCAACTAGCGCTGGACTTTACATGCCCGGCACCCCTCCCTCGTTAAATTCGCCCTTAGGAGACCCTGTACATGGAATGCAGTGTTCAGTGGGCCAGCAGCCTCAATATATCCATAGGACTGATATTCAGGAACTTAAATATATGCCTCCCCAGGTACAGAATGGACATTTTAACAGTCATTGGGGTATCCCGACCAGTGGTGAGTCCTGGAATACGGGGATGCCTCAGTTACATGATATGCGCGATCTGAGAGACAATTTTGTCCGGGATACTAGGGACATTAAACCGGGTCAAGGTAACGAGATGGGCCACCAAGTCACCCTCCATCACCGGGGTCCGCAGCAAATTCATGCCCCTCACGGATGGAACGCCCCCATACCCGGTGGACACTTAAATGGCGGGGGTCAACTTCAGCACCACGGGTACGGTGTCCCCCTGAACGGCATGCTATCCCCTCATCAACTCCCCCACGTGATGAGGGACCCAGAACATGATTTGGACCAACATACCCCTTCAGACGATGATGCTCCCTCATCGGATGACCTGGAGGCATTCGCAAAACAGTTCAAGCAAAGGAGAATAAAATTGGGATTTACTCAGGCTGATGTTGGACTTGCACTTGGTACATTGTATGGTAATGTATTTAGTCAAACAACAATTTGTCGTTTTGAAGCTCTTCAGTTAAGTTTTAAGAACATGTGCAAGTTAAAGCCGTTGCTTCAAAAATGGTTGGAGGAAGCAGATTCTACCACAGGCTCAACTACTAGTATAGACAAAATAGCAGCACAGGGCAGAAAACGGAAGAAGAGGACAAGCATAGAAGTGACAGTGAAAGGTGCATTAGAAAATCACTTTATGAAACAACCTAAACCTGCTGCACAGGAAATATCTCAACTAGCAGACCAATTACAACTGGAGAAGGAAGTCGTCCGAGTTTGGTTTTGTAATAGGAGACAAAAGGAAAAACGAATGACTCCTCCGGGCCAGTTAGGGGCCAATGGGGAACTCATCATGCCCGACAGTGAGGACGGAAATTCTAGGGCGGATAGCCCCTTACAATCACGACCTAACGGTGCCATGAACGGTTCTGAGCATGCTGGACTTAATATGGCTGTTTCTTCAGCCCAGACTTTAATGTCACCGAATTACCATTCCGTGGGACAGTTATTGAATGCTCATAACCCACAGTCAGGGGGACACCCGCATTTTAACACACAAAACCATTCACCAACGCACTGACTAGAATTCTAAATTCCGGTTTCTTCTGAAGTTCAACTCGCCGCCACCATTCCAGAAATCGTCCAGAGATCTCATTTTACCCCCACCCCCTTTGAAATGCAAAAAGGACTTGATCTGGACCGAGGGACAAAAGCGTGGCGATCTCTCGAACTCTCATTGTCCGTGATGGCCAAAATAGCAGCGAATGTCCTCCGTTCTTCGAAAGGAGATGACAAACAGATCGCGTTTTAAATGTGTGGAGCGACGGATCTTTATTGGGTCGTTAATTCAGTGATAGCCCGATACTTAGCCTGGTCAAAAGTGCGAAATGACCTAATATTGGAGAAATATTTATGCCATATTTTGTGTGTTGCAGACCGTTTGTGTATTCATATTTATATGCGAAACAGAAGCAGAATTTGATTCTAACTTTGTATGTGTGTGTGTATTTCCGTGTTTGAGTGTTTTGAGTATTCTATATAAAATATCATTGTTATGTTTCGAAGAAAAAACAGAGCGTTGTGTGACTATGTCAGGACTTGTGTTTTATATACATAAACTGGATAATTTGTTAAAAGTGCCAATTTATAAACATTCACCCTCTGTTTCTTAAAACGGATTGATGTCCATGTAATATAACGCAGATCATAGGGTAATTACTAAAAATGATTTATTTCCAGTTTTGTTTTTTTTTTCCAAACATAAAATACAAAAAGTAAGTAACTCTTTTTTTCATTTTGTTCTTCAAGGAAAATATTTTTGTGCTTTAATTTCTTTTAAATTCAAAAAGGTACATAAAAAACATCAATTTTTTTCTCGTTTATTTTGGACCCCATCAAACATAATTGCATAAATATTTTGGAAAATTATAGGGGAAGATATCGGTCTATGGTGTAGTTTTCCTTATGGCAGTCTTTATTTAACATCATTAAACATTTACACAACATTGCTTTGGAGGAAAATGGTTTTGGGAAGAGAAGTCATGGTTTACTAAAGATATAATTCGTTGAGTAAATATTGAAATTGACTAGAGTGTTAGTCTTAAGTCTCGCTCGTTCATAATAGCGGGTGTACATCTTAAATAGGATTAAAAAGATAAGCTGTCCTAATATTTAATCAGAAAATGTCTCGAATAGTTTTTAACATTTTGATTTTATAACTTTGTTCATTAATTCTTGATGGACATTTTTTAAATGTAAAATTATACATGCATTCAATATTATTTACTGTTTACGTTTTAAGGGCGATTTTCTTTTTTAAAACAACAAAATGGCTCCTATAAATATTTATTTGTTATGAACTTTCATTGTTATTGTTTACGTTAGAAGTGGTGAGTTAAAATATTGTACTCGGGGTCTGTAATTTCTGAAACATTTCATAATCACTTTTCAAAGTGCATTATCAACCCAGTTAATTTAATGTTGATATTTGTAAATTTGTGGCAAATTATGCGTGCATTGCTGATACAGATAGGCCTTAATGAGAGCGATATGAGAACTGATTAAACCATCACTGGAAAAAAGCGCGAATAGTCCTCGAACCAGCACACGATAATCGCCTCAATAGAAACAAAATCAATCTTTATTTTTACCCCTAGAATGGTCTGTCAATTAGAGCGAGAAATTGATAAAAATTAATAATAATTTTCAATGAAGATTAGCCCTTCTCGTTTTCCGATGTGCCGTGTGTATATATATTTTTCCTTTCTAATAAATGACCCTTATGAGTGCAAGAGAACAAAACTGGAAAATTGTGATGATTTGTTTGAGAGATATGTACTATACAATGGAGTTTTTTGCCAGTATAATAAATATTTTTACAAATGCAAAATAATATTTTTTTAATTTTGTGACGAGCACAGCAAGGATGTGGTTGATTGAGAAAAATATCACCATGTGTTTTTTTTTTTTAAGAAAAAAACGAAAATACATTGTCGGGCAAATCCAAGATTAATGTGGTTAAATTCAAGTCTCGTTTTATCAGAACGTCACAAATTTTTGTGAAGTATAAATCTAGTCTCTAATGGCGTCGACATTTTTCGATGCACATGGTTAAATTTTAAATCGTTCAAGAACCATGATTCCTCTTCATTCTTTTCTAAATTATCTATTTTATTCTAAGTTCCGATAATGTATTTTCCACACTGCTAATCTCCGCCGGAATTAATCCGGTTACCCTCCACAGGATGACGGTTTTCGTAATTAGGTATATCAAACTTTCTGGAGACTCCGATTGATATATCAGCATGAGCAAACCACAGGGAAAAAAGTTTCCCTCTTCTACTGAAAACATATTATATGTCTCAAAGTTAACAAGCCGGAAAGTCGTGGAGTTAACGATGAACTATCACACCTTCACACTATCTGCTTCATAGATATTTACAAAAGATGAATTTGGTGATACGTCTAGCATTCAAGCAAGTCACCGTAGAATCAGTCACTCGCTAATTCTGCTGTATTCTCTCAAATATATATTGTGTGTATTTAGGGAACAAATCCTAAAACAGATTATTTTAATGTCAAAACGATATTTCTTTTTGTTTTTTCGAGTTTTGACTTGACATAACGGATAGATAACTACTAAAAGTACACATTACGTAATGCATCTATAAAGTTATTTAAAACTTTTTTTCTGAAAATTTATTTTATTTTTATGGTAAGCTTAAGTGTCATATTTTCTCCAAGATTATTTTACAAACCCCTATAATCTTTTTAAATTCTTCCTTTTTCAAATGTATATCATTGATGTAATTTTGTTTAATTTCCCCCTTCACAATATCACATTGATGCATGCAAAATGACAAAGCATTTACTAAGTAAGTTTTAAATTAAATCCGATTTTGTTCACCTACTTTAACATTAATAAATATTTTTAAAATCTTAATTGCAAAGATTTAGAGTTTGATGACATATTATTAACTCTCGTTTCGTATCAATTACTAGCGTGCTTTAATGAAGAAAATCGAATAAACGGATATCTTTCTATTACAAAATTAATATATTTTGAAATTGTATTTTCCCCATCCAGTTGATATATCAACGACGATCTACCTAATGTGCAATTAGTTCTGTTCCACCTAATTAGTTACAAAATTGCAATAAATTACTTTTTTTTTATCAATATATTTTTTTCAAGTTGACCAAGATTTTAAAATGTTTTAAAGTGCACACATGTTATCGAATTATTAATGTATTAGGGAACAAATACCCACATATTACGTATTTTTATTACTTATGCATGATTGCAATTACATTTTCTAAAATCCACTAAGAATTGGATGAGTTAAATTCTTAAATGCATTTCATTTTAAATCTTTTAAGTAATTTGAAAGATTTATTTTATATTTTTGTTGCCAGTTAAAACAAAAATACATTATACAAAATATCAATGCAAAATTTTAGTTCCATTCATCAGAAACTAATATCTATTGACTAACAATTTCCAAGCAAAGAAAATTTCACTATATATTTCTTTTTTCTGATCTGCAAAATAGTAATAAAACAGTACGCAGATAGATTACCATAGTCTGTACTACGTAAATACGAAAGATCAATACCCCACTTCTAGCTTAGCTTCATCTTACGATGGATTGCTCACTGTGCTCCGATTGGCTAGCGCTATGTAATATTATGTCCACAAGTGAATCATATATAATTTATTATAAACTAAATGATGTATGTTAAATCAATTTTAACCTGCACCGATGCTTTTATATTTGAAGATTTTTAATGCTCTAATTGCAATTAAGATTTCTCATATAGAATTTCATACTTATGTAGAAATTTATTTTTTTTCCAGAAAAAAAGCTGCACCGGAATAAAAATATCTGTATATATAGTATATGATCTGACGGTGAAATAGAAATAAAAGTAAACGTGTCTTTCAATAAAAAATATATTTACCTGAATTTACTGCGTTATCATGGTATACCGACTTGTTAAATACTATGACTAAGTTATACTCTACAGTTGTACTTATTATATAGTAATAAAATAATCATATGCATGTATTTCACCTTCAACGTGCAGAAATCACCCACTACAAATAAAACATGCATTAATTGCACTTAGGAAAACTTAAGTTATATACATCAATATGATACATGTATACATATTTGTGCCAATTGACATTATGCCCTTAATTTGTAATGACAGAGAACCAATTAACATGCTTTACACGTACAAAGAGTTCAATGGTTTGTCGTGTAATGTTTCATACGGGTTCTTACCCCCTGTCATATGTTATATAACACGGAGAAAGGTGTGCTGTACCCCGGGTCTTATACCAATCGACCAGGAACAAGGCTCTCCAGGCAAAACATATCTTGTTTGTGGTTATTACTGCGTTTAATTTTTAGTTCATCCCAACGAATGTAGGATATTTTCACGGAAAAAAAGGTTTAATAAGTTTTCATCCCCAAAGTTGAGGGGAAAAAAAAGAGAGAGAAAAGAATAATACGAATGAAATATTCAACAGATGAAGTTTACAATGAAGTATAGCATGAAAATACATGTATACTGTTCTGCAAAAACATTTTCGACATTTTAAGTTACCATATGGTATCCTGCATGAAAACCTAAATTTTCTGTTTTCAACATTCAGTAAAGTTTCTTTTCTCTTTCCTCAGAAACACTTTAGCACCAGCTAAGTCCAGCTAGTGGTTTTGCCAATGAGGTTGAAGACAAAATTGCCTACTTTGAAATGTGAATTATTGGGGTACTGATTGTGTTGGTCACCTACAAGCAAACTATCAATAACCACAAGGCTATTTCAGGCCATATCAGGTCAGTTGAAACCAATGAATGTGTCGTTAATTTGGGTCACAAGTTATAGGATGTTTATGGTCGTCCGTCTATCGCCTCGGGCTCGCGATTGTCAGTAGTAGTATAGATAGCCGTGACTGGACCTGCCTCCAATCCTCGGGTTCGGAAGCTAATCATTTATCGCTGTTGGAAATCTGTGAAAATTGACAAGATGCTTTTGTAAACATGAACCTTGTTCCTCCCTCACCTTATATCGAGTTCAAATAGAGATTTTTTAAAAACTGTCGATAAAAACTGGACCAGGGTCCAAAATTAAACTCACGTGATAGATGCAGGTGTTGCTGAAAAACTATAGACTAAAAGATAGGAAACGCGTATAGGAATTCTTTTTTATCATCCAATCCATGAAAAAAATAAAATTAAAAGTTTAGAAATCTTGAGGCCAATATGCATCAAATTGAGAGAAAAAAAAATTATGCATTCAATGCAAAAAAAGGTATCAAATATTTATAGCACTTCTTCCATAACTATCGGATGCACTTAGTCTAATCGCATCTCTATCTCGCTAAAATTCTAATGGAAATATTTTATCTGAACATCAAAGAAAGAAAAACAACAGTCTTATTAGCTGTTATATATCGAAGGTGAGTTAGAAACTCTCCGCCGTCCCGAGAGAAAACTATAACATCACAGATTTTTACAATGCGAGAAATCATAAAAATATTTGACTAGAGGCCTTTGATTTTTCCTCTCGATCTCGGTCCCCATTGCTAACGACTGCCGAAAACTGTCCCAGAAATTTTACAACAAAAACAATAAAATTTTTAGCCGAGTGTTTTTGCAGAGTATTAAGAAAGAAAGGGGTGGCTGCTCTTCAGACGGGGGGTTTATTTGGAATTTTATTATTGTTTACCGTATTTGAAAATCTAATAAAACTGAAGAGCTCTAGAACTGCTTTGATCGAAGTTCTCCATTGGTATAGCGGAAGCCGTGATATGTTTTTTCAAGTGATCATAACATCTTCTGCAAATTTACTGAGTACGGCGTGATCGGGGTAAAATTACCAAATGCAGATAATTTTCTCAGGCTTAACAGTGATCTTAAGATAAAATACCTATAATTTATCATGCCCTAAAATACGTATATGTTTTTTTTTTCAAAGAAAAAAAATACTGCTGTAAGATGAGTGCAGTAAAAGTGAAAAACAGATTGATTTTGTAATCTTGATACAAAAAATTAATCCTTGAATTGTTCTTATGTAAAAAAAAAAAATTTTGGAACATATTTTATTGAACGAGTCAAATGGATTGGAAACAAGTTCTTGCAACTTACAAGTTCCTCTCCATAAATATAACAATATGTTATGCAAATAATACATTAAAATATGACATGTATAATATTTTCAAATCAATTTAAAATCTACATGTTTCAGTAATAAATGTAAAAATAAAATTTTTGTTACCTTTACTGGAATTTAAAAAAAAATCAAAATACACTTGAAACAAAAATATATTGAATTTTACTGCTTCTAGTATAAGAAAAAAAAGATTTATTAATAAACTTTCCAAAGATGGACACGCGAGAGACTTAGAGAACAATGATCATGCATATTTTTAGTATACTAGTAAATTTATAGACATTTATTGCGTGAGAACACACAGAACTTTTATTCCAAATTCAGTTGAATTTGACGGTGAAAATCGTATAAGTCCGTGATTTAATTGTTATTAAAATGTTAGGAAACTATTTTTGATGCAAATATATGATACATTGTATTTGAATTGAAGATATACAAAATGCTTGTTTTTTTTATTGAAATACATACAATTTTTAGATTTCCGTTAATATGAAATTAATTAGCAGTGAATTGAAATCAATTTTTATTGATTAATTCATACTTTTGTTCATTTTTCAGAATTCAGCATTTCTTATTTGAAAAAATAATTAAAACATTAATCTATGCTATCAACTTTTGTGAGTCATAAAAAGCAAAAATTGCATTTAAACATCTTAACAAATATATATCATAAATGTGAGATATGTAACAATTAAATATAATAATCCGTAGCTTAACAACATGCAAATGACATGCAATTTTTGAAAGAAATATATGCAAAATAGCTCATAGCGTAAAATTTCTCAGCGTGTGATGTTTCATGGTTTCGCCGGCAAGCACGTGTGTTTGTTTACACTTTTTGAATGACCCAATGGCGCTTTCCGCGTGTTTTGCCCTTTAAGTAAATTGATGTGAATTCATAATTGTTTTCTGATTATAAATGCAATTGAATTACCGTATTTTACCTTGTTTACATGGTAACGGATCAGTGCCCGTGCAAGCTGTTTTTATGACTGAATTTTGTTAATTTTATTGTAAGTCAATGAAATTTATTTGACATTGAAATGATACATCTGCAGTTTTTTTTTTAATGAAGATATATGTTTGTATTAAAATGATATTGTTAATAATTGCTTATTTACATGAAAAACTATTAATCCTAATGTGTTTCATTATTTAATGCTAGTTGTTACACAATTGTGTTTATTTTAGGCGAGATTAGGGAAATGCACATGAAAAAACAGATTCAGTTGATTAAATTGTATTTTTCATTAAGGCTTAAACCTTTAATTCACGTTAATTATCGCCATTAAGCCACAATCACAAATGTTATCAGACTATCGTTTTCTTCCAAGTGAAACAAAGTCAACATTTCTCTTTGCCGAATCCATTCAATACACACTGATGCCCGATAAGAATCTATTTTCACACCTTATCGGATGCAAAATCAAATTAAAATACCCATTTACCCTCAAATCCAATTCACTTTTCAGTATTTAGGAGCCGAAAATGGAGGTTATTATAAATAACGGTTTGTGCAGAGAACTTTTTATTTAGCTTCAAAACTCCTGAACACATTTTAGAACATAAATTTCAGAGAAGAGGGTTTAATATCCAATTAATGAGTGAAACTGTATCACGTTAATCTAACTTGTCCAGATCAACTAGCAAGAACTAGCGACATACAAATTCCTTGATCTGCCAACCGACTCGTTTAGAAATTGACCCGACGAGTCCCGAGAGAAATAAACAATCTCCTCCGGATCGGAACGGACCGATCAGAATTAGGACCAAATATCGTGCTAGACATAGAAATCAATGTTTCTGATAGGTCTAGGCTGCTTTGAACAAACGTTTAAAGGACTTTTTTCTTACTTGAATTTGGTACGATACGACAATATATTTTAAAATCAACGGAAAAAAGAGATTTGTACCGAAATTGCAGTTTTGTTTTTAGAGCGAGACGTTTGACGGTTAAGGATAGAATTCACGGCTCACTTCCTGTGTAACAATATTTCACGAGTCGTATCATTTTATGGTCCATGGTCTGTAGATACGACGTTCATTTAACTTTGTGGTTTTTTTCCTTTATAGCACACAAAAAAGATGGAAAAAAGGAGGAAGAGGGAAAGAAAATGACACTGGATTTGATAGCGAAATCAGATAAAGTGAAGACCTCAGCGGGTCTATCATCAACTCAACACTAGATTTCATGTAAAATGCATGTCTATTTATTGAAGCAAGAAGGACTCCAATTTCAAAAACCAGGCCCTCTTAAAGAAGACATCGTAGCTCAATAAAATCACAGTCTACATTGGGAAGGATGTTTAAGAATACATATGCATATATTCTGTGAATCAGTTCTATACATATAGGAAGTTTATTGGTAGGAGCAAAACTCATCTGATCGTCAACTTAACGAAATCATTGGTCATTAATTTTTTGAAAATTGACCTAAAGGGTATCACTTTTTTCACCCTCTTTAAGATGTTCTTCAGAGTTGGTTGTTTATTGTCCCTTGTTTTGGTTGGGATGCACATCAAAAGTTTGCGAAGAGCTATGAATTAAAGCGCGATTATAACCAAGTATTTACTTAGAAACCACAATAAAGACATTATGAACATGGAACCATCTTCCTGCGAAATTACTCTGTTGTAGATAAGAAGGCGGGGAAAGCAGCATGTTAGAAAAAAAGAGTACTCGTTCTTTTCTGTCACAAGCAATATATGGTTACTGTGAGGCTTTGCAATGCTTCATGCATGTCGGTCTACAATTTAAGAAAAAAATGACTTCATACGAAGCTTTTATTCTAACCAATAATTGTGCAGCTAAAATGTTCTGGTATTCTACATTAAAATTTAATAAACACCACAGGTTTTTTTTCTTTTTTATCGTAAAGTTGTATCGGTACTTTAGTATAATGTTACTTGATTGTTTCATCTTGAAAGCATGCAAAGTAAACATTTATCAATTTGGTAAAAAGAATCAGTCGTGCTTTTGGTACTTTCATAACAGTACAATAATAACATGCAAAAACAATGTTTTCAGCAACGGTTGCAAAATCCAACTAGAGCAAGACATAAAGATTTCATATTGTTTGAAAGTAATTAACCTTAAGTACGTTCGATACCACCATTGATGATGCTCTTGTCAGCAATAGAAGCATGTCGGGTCAGCAGTGCGAACTATAGCTGATGATGTACAGTGATGATATTTTGATCGGGGAGACGCCCCTAATAACATTTACCCCCGATACTAAACAAACGTTTTGTCGTCAAATCAAACAAGTCTCCCATACTATTGTTTGTTAATCAATCAATTCTCAAGTTATCCTGTCGTTAGTTGTATGTGCAAGGATAACATCACAGGTCAGGATTTCAGTATGCTTTCGTTTAGAACGTTAGCTAAACAGCCAATATTTGCTTTCTCTGCTTATACAAACCCGATCAGAAGACAGCGTTTTTGTTGTGGAATGTGGCCCTATCCAAATCAGAGAGCCATTGCCTTCTGTTTGAGATGAAGCTTGCTGGAGGTTTTTTGTTTTGGTGAGGTGATGTATTGTCTTCGTAGTTCAAACAGATAATGAGCTGTCATTGTAGGGAAAAGAAGTCTTACTAAAGTGACAGAGAGAACACTTCAGCGGAAGAAGAAAATCCGTCATTTTGGGTGACGCTATTTACCCACAAAATTGAACTTTCAAACTTCTCTTCAAACAAACCGATATGTACTGCACTTTTATTGTAAGGAATCAATGGTCAATGTGTAATTTACGGCAAAACCAAGAGAAATAGACTTGCTCTAGGGGAACTGAAGTAGGGTTTATTTTGAAGAAATGAAATTTTTCTTAATTCTCTCAATGATATACTTCAAAAGTTTAAGCTATTTAATAAAACAACCAAAATATAAATGTGTTAGCTGTTGATGTTTTGCAGCTATATTCTACACACAATGCCAACAAATAAAAAGGTGCTCAATGGAAATATCGTTTTACCAGAACTTATTAGAATAAATGAATAATTTCAATAGAAAGGCATATTGCATTTTTGTCATCTCTTGCATGTATATCAAAAACAATGTATGATACAACTATTTTATTAATAATTTGATACAGATAAGACCGCGAAACATTAACTGGCAAAATTGGAAATCTACAGCTTACGTCATTTCTATCTGTTACAATCAAAACATTCAGTGATAGACAATGAAATGGGCGGGTACAATTCGACACGGACGTGGGGAAAATATCGGATTGAAACTGCAGATCGAAATTCATTTTCAATCCACCTCAGCTACGCTAGCAGGCACATTATTACTGATTGACCCAGAAGACAAATAATTACAATTTTGGTACAGTTTGAATTTTTTTGTCCAGTGTTTTAAATAAATTAATATTTAAGGGACAAATATTTCATTTCTGTTTGGTAAATATATGTATATCTTTGTGTTGGAGGTGGGGGGGGGGGGCTGAACGATTTTTAAATATTATAAAGTTGTTCAACAGTTTTCAGTGAGAATAAGTATAAAACTCATGCACTCTTATAATCTTAGAAATAAAATATATTGTCATGTTAAGCCATTACTTGACTCGAAAATTTTTACCCCCCCCCTTCTAGAATCAAATATCTCCTGAAAAATAATCTTTGTCTTCTATGATCTTTTGCGTTCTTAAAATCATAAGCTAAAACTTTTGGATCATACATTCACTTTTGAAAATAGCTCAGGTGGATTGAAAATGAATTTCGATCTGCAATTTCAATCCGATGTTTTCCCCACGTCCGCGTCGAATTGTACCCGCCCATTTCATTGTCTATCACTGAATGTTTTGATTGTAACAGATAGAAATGACTTAATCTGTAAATTTCCAATTTTGCCAGTTAATGTTCTGCGGTCTTATATCAGTGATTGTAAAATATAAAAGTAGTTTTTGACATAAAACTTTGGTTGACATGAAAACGGGATGCAGACTTTCCCCAGTGTACTTTCCATGTCTACATATACATGCATTTTTTTTTTATTTCTCACTTGCAAATAGTTAATATGTTGTGTAATGCAACACAAATTTAGAAATACAGTTAGCTCTGGCCTGGGGGCCATAAAACTTAGACGAGCTCACTTTTGATCTCAGTCTCACTTTTAGGCTATAAATTCCTTTGGAAAAAGTGAGATTGAGCTCAAATGTGAGCTCGTCTAAGTTTTATGGCCCCCAGGCCTGTTCAGCTTGAATATGCCAGTAATTAATCTTACTCCGACAAAAATTGTGGGTGGGGCATCCAGCATCCAAAAGAAAATTTACATGTACTATTTAGCATGCCCCCCCCCTTCCCCGGCGTTTTACGGGCTTGTAATGTAATGTGAAAGTTTGCAAAATTTGAATTATATATTCATTAAACATTAAAAAGGCATTTGATAGGTGTAACAGAAGTTCAAAGATGATATTTATTTTTTGCTTCATAGTGAAGCATAGTTTGCTTCCCAGTAATCTCCCTTGTAATACTCTCTAAAGCCTGAAGGTACGATATGTACATAGAAGATGAAATGGTTTGCAGAAAATGTTATTCAAATTGGCGAAGACTTAAAAATTACAGTATAGAATAAGAAAAGATATATTACATAATTAAAACAGAAGGTAAGTAGACATTACATATCGTTTTAAGTATTATATCTAATGCATCTGTCCATTTGATAAGCATACATATTCATATAGTCCGAAATTCCTCTAATTTTTCCGCGCTTTTAAAATTGTAACGTGCGGGGACATCCGCCTACAAACCCCACCCCTTCATATGTCACACTATAAAATGGACCATAATGCATTTTTGGAAAAAAAAGATCGCTTTTCGTTATTTTTGATTTATCTTTTGCACTTGTAGTTGTTGGGTGTTCATACAATCATGTATAATATAATCCGAGATTCCTCTGACTCTAACCCCCGCTTTTATATTATGACTTGTGCGGGGGACAAGTCATAATATAAAAGCGGGGGTTAGAGTCAGAGGAATCTCGGATTAATGTATATAATGAGTATCGTCTTTAAAAAAAATGAAAAAATAAATAAATACCCCTTCCCCCAATAGGTGACCTGTCATACCACAGAGGTGTGTCTATAAGGGATGTTCGTGTACATTTTTTTTTATGAAAAAAAAAGTTTCATTGTATGTGAAAAACATGTTAGATACCTGTGTATGACAAATTTTATGATAATCTAAAAGACCGATAATTCTAGAGTTAACCTTGATTTTTTCCCAGAGAATTTTTGATACATTATTAATAAATATAAAGATATTGATAAATATAAAATCATTGGTATGTTTTTTGTTAGTTTTATATATTTGTTTGCATGTGATCAAACGTCTTGTTTGCCATGTTAATTTCTTTAGAATGTTTGATATGTGTAATGTTAATTGTTTATATATCTTTGTAATGTATATGCATCTTCAGAGGTACGTACAAGTCTCTATCTTTGTTCATGTACATGAATTTATTAAGTACATTGTACATATAAGTTGCGCTTTGGAGCATCTACGTTTCATATGGTATTCCAGACCTGCAATTAAACAATCAAATTAGAAGTTGAGTTGTACTGCTTTATGTTCTCTGTATATCCTATTCATCTTACAGACTCTTTGACATCGATAAATTTTCAATAGCGCTAAGTCGTAACAAGCCTAGTTAGTTTCATGGGATTCAAAATGCTAAAATAATCATTAAGCTATTCGGTAGTGTGAGATTAACATAACTAAAGGAGCCTTCTTTGATACAAGCCTTTAAATTTACCGTAAGATATTTTGATATGCAAATTCAAAGTATACATCAATTCTAGTTTGTAACGAGGAGGCAAAATAAACATTGTATAAATCACTTCAAAGTTACTACATCTTTAAGGATCTTAAAGGACAATTATCTGGGTCGCAATCATAAGAAATGTGTTTATTTATAAATTCAATTTTTACCGGTCCATAAAATCATGTCTTGATCGTACATCAGGTTGTTGGGGAATAGAGAGGTGTCTAACGCAAAATCAAATAAAATTGTATATCATTCTTATTTTAGATTTTATTACATGTATAAAATAATATTAACGAAATACGTAATGTTTACGTCGACCTTGAGATTTTTTTTCAGATTATCACTTAAAACGAGAGAGAGAGAGAGAGAGAGAGAGAGAGAGAGAGAGCAAGCAACACCATGAACACTTCGTTTCTTTGCTTCAGCTTTGCAGGTGGCACATATCTTTGCAATATCTAAAAGAGAGCGTTGATTTGGGTGATCTGTAAAATGATCAAGAAGGGAATTTCCCCCTTTCCATTTATTTCAGTGTGTTTTATTTCCTTGTTTGAGCATGATTTCTCGATGTTGATATCAAATAAATACTTTTATTTTTATTAAGTGGGTTTTTGAGCGAATTAAACGATTATGTCAGACGAGAAATTAACGACGGTCCCTTCATTATCGGGGAACAAACTGTAATCTTAATGTGACGAAAACCTTTGTGTTTTCTGTACGTTATCTAGTGTAGGCTGATAGCGAAATTAAAAAAAAAAACCCTCTTGTGCTTCAAGTTGAAACATGCATCATACATGTACATTAAAATAAAATGATATGACATAATTATTTTTGGATTGAGCAGGTTGTTTTGATACAATCGACATAATATAATTTAAAGGTCTAAACTTTTTTTTTTGAAATTTTTTTATTTTTTCTTTAACTTATACAATGAACTGAATGCAATGTAGCCTTCATTTATGCATTTGTAAAGATGGCACCAACTGATAGTATTTCGTTGCGGAAAAAACCTATCTACTGATAACTGAAAGTGCTAATAATATCCTCAATGGATTCGACAAAACAGCAATAATTAATCAGAAAAA